CCCACCCTGCACACAGCAGCTCCCGCACCCTGGAGACCCTCACAGGCCTGGTGGAGAGAATCTCTCTGCATTTCTGGGGATTTTTTTTATCTGCAGACCAAAGGGCCAGTGTGGTTCTGCAGAACCACAGGCTTCAGGGACACCTGCTTGCCAGGGCAATTCAAGAAAGCCCATCCCGAGGAGAAGCGCCACGGTCAGATCTCCAGCAGAGGGGGCCAGGGCAGAGCCCGGTAGGGCCCCCCAGTCACAGCCCAGAGCCGAGCCCAGGAAAAGCTGGGCGACAGGTGTGGGTGTGCCCTAGGCCTACCTAAACCGGTTTGTGCCAGGGGACTGAGACTGGGCGGGTGGGTTTGAGTCAGGTCAGAGAAGAGTGGTGGGTGTTAACTACTCCCCCATCTCCTTATCACATGGGAAGGAAGGCCGGCTCAGACCAGAGCCTCCTAGGCAGAGATACTGGTCAGTCTCCTTCCCCACAAGCCCTGGGAGCAGCTCTGCCCACTCCACATTCCACGAGGCCACCATGGTGCTTGGCCCCCGAGGCCTGGCCCGCAGAGACAGGCCCACGCTGGGGACCCTGCCCCCTGCCTCCCTTGGCCAGCATCAAACAACCTGGAATTCTCCTAAATCAGCTGGGTGGAGATCGAAGCTCAGAGGGAGGCTGCGAGCCCTGGAGGGAGTGGCTGTGGGCTATTTCAGGCACCCCCACATCTTGGCCGGCTACTTTTAATTTCACTGAGAGCCCATTTTTAACACTCACCAGTTAGCCAACAGGCTGCATTCACCACTGACCCCCCGTGGTGTTGTAGGGTTTCCCTGCAAGACGCCCCCTCTGTTCCCTCTAAGGAATGGGTGACCAGGGCCCTCCCGGGGGGCGCAGGGGGTTAAATCGCAGCCCCTGAGGAACCCCCAGGGTGCAGCAGCCCTCTCCTGTCTCCCCGCTGCTCCCCTCAGCAGTGAGCTTCAGTAGATCTGCCTGTTCCGCTCCCCACTCTGTCTCTTGCCCCCTGCACCTCTGGCCTGTACCCCAGTTCTGTATGCATACATAAATAAATGTTTAAAAAAAAATGGGTGACTGATTCTCGGGCGAGCGCCCACTCCCTGGGAAGGGCTCTGGGGCTGTCCTGGCCCCGCTCAGCTCTGTCCTGCCGCTGAGCTCGTGTGTTCTCCTCACCTTGCTGAGGCCCAGAGAAGGTGCGTGTGGGGGCCCAAGACACCAGCTGGCAGCAGAGGGGAGATCTGACCCCTCCCGGCCTGACTGTAGCCCCCACAACCCCTCGCAGGTCTGGCCTCCACCCCAGGCTTCACTTTCTAAAGCCCACCACGGGTTAGTCAGCAGAGTCAGCCGTCCTTTTGGTGAACTTGGGGTGAACTTGGGCGAGCAACCCTCAAACTCAGCTTTCGCATTTTTAAGAGGAGAGAATGCCCCTTTGTTGTTCCTCAGGCCTCCTCAACAATGGAGGGCGGCCTCCGTGCCAGGCCCTGGGTCACCCAGGGCAAAAGGCTGATGAAGTTGCCCAGGAAACCACTGGTCACCAATGGGCCGGGCGGCCTCTGGAGGGACACTGAGCGGGGAGACCGGAAAGGACAGGCGGGTATTGGACACCCAGAGCGTGGACCAGCTGCGGTAATCTGAACGTTTCCTGCCACTTTGCATTGCTTTTGCTTGTTCTAGAACTTTCCACAAATGGAGGTGTAGGTGCGGCTTTTCCCGGGACCACATTTTGCCTCCGCGGTGTGGCCAGGCGCGTGGTCAGTTCCTTATCGCTGCGCCGGGGTCTCTGCCACTGGCTTGTTCTGCCTCAGCCTGACTGGTGTGAGCCTGGAGGCTGACAGTGTCGCTGCGGACCTGACCCCACGCCAGGCTGGGCGGGGCGCTGCTGGCGCGGTCAGCGTGGGGGAGCCTCCTGGATCACCCCACGGGAGACCCAGAGCCCCTCCCCCACCAGGTGTGGGCGCAGCACCTCGAGCAGGACTCCCCCCACCCCCGAACCTCCAGCCCCCGGCGGACACTGCCCGGCCTCCAGAACCACGACCAGCAGCGTCTGCCCTGGAGGAGCGGCCGTGGCCTTTTGCCCTGGCAGCTGGGATGGACTGAGAGGCGCGCGAGGCCCCGAGTGTGGGGCTGTCCCCTCGAGCGGCCCCCCTTCTCGGACCAGTCCCTCGGAGCAGGAGGGCATGATGTCCGCTTCAGTTTTAAGATTTATTAATCTATTTAAGCGTAGAAGAAGTGAGGGCCAGGCCAGAGGTGCAGGGGGTGAGAGGACTCCCTAGAGACATAGTGGGGATCCACTGACACCCACCGCTGACGGGGCAGCGGGGAGACAGGAGAGGTCTGCTGCGCCCTGGGGTCCCTCCCTGGCGGGGACTGAAGAGGGGACAGTGCTGAGACCGAGCCCCGGGCCACCTGGGAGCCCCTAGTTTCTGTCTCTAGAAAAGGCCACGTGTCCCGCCGTGGCCCGGGCGCGCTCATCCCCAGTGCTGCCGTGTGGGGTGCTGCTGCCCCGCGGCCTCGGGGCGCCCCACTTCCAAGCGCCGGGCGGTGTGGCTGGCCTGCAGGGGCCGCCCCGCTGCTGCTGACACCAGTTTCTCGTCGCCCACACCTGTTTGCGTCAGACCTTTGACTCGGCGGTGACAGCTGCCTCCGGCCTGGACACGCCTTCTGGGCCGGACGGGTGGGACTGTTCCCCGGCCAGTGGCGTGCCTTCTTACTGTCTTACTGCTGGCTTTTGGAGATGCTGCTTGTTTTTATGCCAATAAAATACCCAAAGAGGGAGCGTGAGGGCAGCGGGGATGCCCCAGCCAGCTGGTCGGGCCTCGCCCTAACGCGGAACAAAGCCAAGCAGAACCCTCCGCCTCTGATTCAGACTCAGGCCGGCGCCTCCTCTGAGGCCCACAGGGAAATGCCAGGCCGGCTGGCTTTATGTGGGCCCTGGCGGGGCGGCGCTGCTCTGGGTCACCCACAGC